ATGATGGAAAATTGAATTGAGCCGCAGCTACTAAATCGATAAAATCGTATATTTGATATCGATTGAAACGCGGCACGGCCAAATACACAAGTTCGAACATCGTGTTATGCAATCTAATTCCGAATTCTCTGAATTCTCGCATAACTGGCTGTATATGGGCTCTTGGTTGGGATTCGCATTCAAAGTGTATACCTACGCACGTATTAGCGAGAGAAAGAGAGGGGAGCTTGGCAACACAACAAATGTCAAATCAAAACTAATTAACCCAAAACAAAAAGCGCAACGAACTAAAGTGATTTCCCGTTGTCATTTATCATGTTTGATTTTAATCATTGTTATATAAATAATGATGTAATGGCGGAAAAAAAACACTGCTCGCTACTGACTAACGCGATGTGCCGACCATGTTCTATGCCAACAGCCATAAACTCTATGGCCCGTTTCGTTAGGACAAAAACGCACGGCGACCGCCGACAACAACGACGACGGCGATGATACAAAAACCCATTATTACGCATACTATGCACGTTTATTCTTTGTGTGGTACAAATTGTTTACGGGATCGCGTTCATTTGGCAGTGTAAACATCGGAGCATAACGCGCGCGTGTAACGCGCTATAGGAACACGTCGGAAGCGATAAGTATCATGGCAAAGGAACATTTTAAGAAGGAGAAAAATGTACATAGTTTTTTTTTTCGTTCGTTTCATTCTCGATTTCTTGCTGTTGTGTGTACCGTAATGGAGATTCTTTGTACTCACGAGCGCACCCGCGCTCAACACTCTGCTCGATGTGCAAATGAACGTCGAGCGCTTTCGTTTATTTTTTTCTCGTATGGATGTTGTTGTTGTTGTTTTTTTCTTGCTCAATGCAAAGAATTCCAATAGTTTGTCGACTATTTCCCTGTTGCCTGCCACATTCCATGTTGACGGTGTGCTGCTGTACAGCAGAAGAAAAAAACAACAATTGTGTTTATTTCCATTTTGTTATAGTGTTTTGTTTGCCTGTTTCCTTTGTTTTATCGATTCAATCTATCTGCTCTTTTATTCAACGGTAGTGTGCTGCTGCACCACTTACCGAGGAAGACAGAGCGGTAGTAGATGCTTGCTTTTAATATGTTTGACCATGAACTAACGGAAAAAAATCGTCACAAAGCGATTCCGATGTGTTTACTGTGTTTTTGCAGTCGCCACGCTGTTATCGTAAGCGTTGCAGTCGCGTTCGAGTTCACACTCGTCAAGTTAAATTAAATACAATATAGATTCTAATCAATGTACAAACATTTTCAATCGCTACACGAGTTTTCATTTCGTGACGATTTTTTTTTGAGGTTTTCCTCCTCACTGATATTAGGTTCTTGAGGGTGGAATCGTATTCTTCGCTATAATGGTGAATTCTTCCATTTGAGCATTGAATTTTATGGTTAATTGTCACTTCAATGGTAAAACCATTGAAACGAGAAATGAAGAGCGATTCGGCCCAATTTCATGAAATTTTCAAACACACTTCACGACAAATAATACATTTATTGCGACAAGAGTAAAAATAGAAACGAGAGATGGGCAGACAGAGATGGAGAGAACGAGGGACCAAGGGCAAACGTTCTTAAAATTTTCAATGAATCCACTCAATTTGAAACAATAGCATGAAATGCAATTAGAAATTCTACGAAAGACCTGAACCACGCTCTTCTTTATCTCTATTAAATGCTTGATGTGTCTGAGATTGTGTTTGGTTCATCGTTTTTTGTTTCTGTTCTCATTCTCGTTCTCGTTCTCAATCTTGTTGTTTTCATTCTCCCTGTTCTCTATCTCCTGAGTTGGCCTGTGTCGTTTTTTATGCTGACTGGTTCCAAATTCGTTTATCTATATAGTTTTCGAATTCGAAAAATGCACAGATGGTACGTGCTTCAATAAATTCGGTGATTTCGTGCGTAAATCGAACTTATTGGGCGAAAATTTAACTTCAAGTGGTTTTTGTATCGCATTTTGATACAATTTTTCTTGTCGATTCATTCATTCACTCTCTCTCTCTCTCTCTCTCTCTCTCTCTCTCTCTTTTACTCACTCTGGCACACACACACACTCTTTCGCTCGCCCCTGTGTTCGTATGCCGCCTTCATTTTGGTCAATTAAGCACTGTGCTCAATTCCGTATGCACAGTGAAGCGATATGAACGAGTGCTTTTGTGCTCGTGTATATTCTGTCTCTCGCTCTATCGCTCTTTCGCTCAAAACAATAAAATCTTCACGTCGGCATTCACCGGAATATCTGATTGAACATCCAGAAAAAAATCTCCAATCAATTTATTTATGTTGTTAAAGCTTTCGTTATCGTTTGTTCTGACTTTTCCTGGAAACTTCTCATTCTTCGTCAAACTTGTTTCTTCCTATTTTTCTCCGTCTACTTTTTGCAAAAATGAACGAAGAGAATAAAAGAAAACAATAGTTTTCCGCGAGATAAAGCATTGATTGTTGCAAAATGCGGATAATGTTATGCGCGCAATTGATTTTGGTGAATGGCACGTGTCTAAGACTTTTCATACATTTTAATTAATTTCAAGAGTGGATCAATCGATCAAATAAAACATCAAATCGAATTGTTCGATGGCGAACGTCTCTGTTTCTCTCTTCCATGGCTCCTTTTGGACTGAAGTACACGGGACACAGGGGAGCAAAAAGTGGGGCAAACAGAATTTCAATTTTCCATTTTTTGCCCATTGAATATCAGCGAAGCATGCATAGACTACACTCATTCCTTCTTTTCGTCTCTCTCGCTAGCACACACAATTTGAATAAATATCCTCTCTCTCTCTCTCTCTCTCTCTCTGTGTGTGTGTGTGTGTGTGTGTGTGTGCGTGTTTCTTGTCTGGTGCTCTCTAGCGCACAGTTTTAAATTCAAATCAGCCAAAGGTCATGCTTATTTAAGAAAATTGAAATCGCTCCTTTTTATCATTTGCTTCGCTTGTCGTTGATTTTTCTTTTTCTTTTTTCGGTTGTGGAGGCGTGCGTGCTTCGGCAAAGGTAAATTTTGGCTCCGTTCTCTCGCTCATAGATTTCATCATTCTTATTCTTACTATTAATATCAATTCACTCGTTTTCAATTTGCAATTTAATTTGCTCCGACGACATTCGGCTCCGGCCCCGGTAAAAGCAATACAATAAATATGGAAATGCTATATATAAAACCATCATCATAAATCATGAACAAAATAAAATGTCTATGGGAACCGATGACTCTATCGAGACGCGGCATGTTGAAGAGACGAAAAAACTTGACGACATTTCCATTGGATTGTGAATAAAATACGTGAGAACGCGCGCACGCGCGCGCGCACAACACCAACACATTTTAGGCTTTTTTGTGCTTAAGTGAAAAAATGCATCTCAAGATCACATAAAAAGAACATCTTATGTTTCGGTAGCGACGAATGACAGAGACGACGACGATGGAAAAAATTATTTACATCAATTTTATGTAAATCCGATTCCACAGCGTGTCGCGTATTATACACATCAAGCGAAGTGTCTTTTACCTTACACTTCCTTTGACAATCAACATCCACTTTTCTTGTATGAAACAAGCCTAGTCGCGAAATTGCAAGCGAGTGCCAAAGCACCACAATGCAAGAAAAAGAGAAAGAACAAAAGTAAGCGTAGGAGCAAGAGAGAGAGAGAGAGACTGGAGAGAAGAACAAAGGACTTTTCCTTTAAATAAAATATAATGGTGAGATGCACGCGAGGCCTCCACACAGTCTAAGCCTGAACACCGCCGAAATTTTTCTAAAGTGATATTAAGCTCAAGAATTCACTTGACATCAAATATAGCATTACGTACTTCACTTGATTTTGTTGTGCTTCTATTCAAAGCGATTGTTCCCTTTTCGGTCGTGGTGAATGGGTGAGAATCAACACTCAAAACCAGAACGGAAAAGAACGAATGAGAAAAAAAATGAAACGCGACAAATTCAAAAAATATAAAACATTTTCACGGGAATGATTCGCAAATGTACAGAAAAAAAACGGAAGAAAAAATGCTTCATTTTTCGTCACGACAACGATGAAAATAAAATAAAGTGTTTACAGAATGAGAGAGAGAGAGAGAGAGAGAGAGAGAGAGAGAGAGAGAGAGAGAGAGAGAGAGAGAAAAAACGACGTGGAATCATTCAATAAAAAATTGAAATGATGCAAATGGAAATAGAAAATGAAATTCTCACCTTTGCAACATTCATTCGTTAAAACATAGGTATGGAATATGGAATGCTTTTCTTTTGCTATTGCTAGAGATCAATAATGCAGTCGCCGCATTTTCATTTCGGTGCGGCTGCTTTCAATTCAATAGAATTGCAAATCTGTTCGAAGCTCGAGATTCTCTTTTGATTGCCGGTGTGTCGCAATTTGCTTGCATGTCATGTGATCTCGTCGAGTCTACAACGCGATAACGTAGACAAAGGCACGCAAATTGACAATGCTAAAGATAACGTATAAAAATTTTAAGTAACATCAACTTAATTGTGCGAATCGTCACTGAAACTCACTGTCTCTTCATTCCGCTCAACATTCTACAACTCAGAATTTGGTGTGCGATATTTTTTTTCTCTTCTTATTTTTCATCTCTGTCTCTCTAGATTCTCATTTATCATTTGACGTTCCATTGAAAAGTGTATTAAAAGGAATCTAAATTAAGCAAACAGTCCATGACCCGGCGCACTCATTCAAAAACACACACACACACACATCCCAGCCAACCATAGAAAATCTTCCATTCAAACACAAGACTACGCAATATCTTGCGCGCGCAAAAGGAAAGCATTCACGAAAGAATGAAGCGAGAGAGAAGAAAAAAAATTAAAAATGTTCTAGATTCATACGGAACGCGTGAGATTGCTTTACAAAATTAAACAACAACACGAACGAGAGAAAAAAAGACAGCAGCAGCTAGAAGAAAATTCTGAAAAGAGTGCTACGCGAATTTTTATTTAATTCTACTGTCGTTTTCATACTTTACGTTTTTGTTCAGATTTCCTCGTTGCGTCGTGATCATTTGTCGAGTCGAGTGCATTTGTCGCAAAGAGTTCTGATTACTCTCTTTCTCTTTTTTTCCACTCTGTTTGCTGCTACTGCTGCTGCTGTTACGGCTTTGGCTATAGATTTAGTTGATCCCTCTCGCGCTTGCAGTTTTTGCTCGACGACTCGATGCCGTTGCAAATTTTCTCGAAAGTTTTGCAGTGCGTATGTGCGCGAAAGCACAAAAACACTTCTATTCCCGCCGAACACAAGAACAAAATAATATTATGTATTCACAAGCACTGAAAATTGTGTCGTCGTCGTCGTCGTCGTTGTATGTAACGCGTAAGTCTTTTGTGTTGTTCGAATAAGAGTAAAGTTTTTCGGTTTTCAACATGTGAATGCAATAAATGAATTCACCAACGCGAAATGTCTATGCTTTTGTCACAAGACCGAAATGCACTTAAGAATTCCAAATTGTTTGCATCAACCCCCATTCGAAAGAGAGAGAAAAGGGATGAGTTGAGTAGAAAAAAAAATGTTGAAATGGAAACAACGTGAGTTCAGTTAAGTTTGATAGAGCAACGAAAGCAAAGCAAAAGAAGAAAAAAATTACGCGACTGCTGAATTCACCGCTCTATAATTATGTGCTTGAATTAAGAGACTACATCGATCCTAGGATTACACTGCTTTTGCGTTCAACATTCACTTAACGCACGAATCCGCTTTTCTTGATTTTTTTTCCACTATGTTTAAATATTCTACTTGTTTTTTTTATCCTCCTTCTCTTCGCCAAATGATCGTGTGTGTTTTTTTCGTGCTATCCGTGCACTTGCTCTCTAATTAATCCAAATTAAAATGTTGACTTGCTTGCACTGTCGGTTCTCTTGCTTTTTTCTGTCGCACACAAAACACTCATATAATACCTCCTCCTCGAAAAAGAGCCGAGATTTTCTCGAAATGGAACAGAAAAAAATTGTTTTCTGTGTTTAAGGAATTTTTCTACTCGTTGGCTCTTTTGTTTGACACATTAATTATATTACGTTCGCATGCGCTCTCCCTTTCTCCTCACGCGCGCTTGTATTCACACCAAGGAAACGCGAACAGGATATTTAAAATTATAGAAATTGTTCCACGAATTTTATACTATATCATCCCTTTTCTTAACTGTTTGTGTATGTGTATGCCATTCAACACCGACAGTATCCGATTTTCTGGTTTAGTTTGCCGTATTCATTGGATTTCTTTATTTTTTCCCCCGTTTTTCTCCTAATGAATATGGTAACGAGTTTGTTGTTTTTTTAATTGTATACAAAATAAAACGCATACAAAAACAAGGAACAATATTCACACTGACGCGATTCAAAAAGTTGCAAAATGAATGTGCAAAGAGTCAAATTGCAGACACACTTTCTTTCAAAAGAATTTCTCTTCGCTTGATGTTACTGCGCCTGTATTGTAGATGATGAGTAAAAGAAACGAGAAAACGCTGAGGTTGCGCGCGCGGCAGTTTTCAATTCAACGTGACTGATTTAGACGACTTGTATAAGTAATCTGAGTGTTGTGATCGGAAGAATGTTCTGCCGAAGGTATTAACCATTACGTTTCCAGCTTTAATAGACTAACACAATCGCATGGCTGCCGTATACATACAGAGATGTATACTCTAACATATACACACGCTCACACCACACAGTGACTGACGGGGCTAAGCACTTTGAGTCGGCCAAGAATAGCGGATTCATACACGCGATGTACTGAAGAACGGCGCAGAAAGAAAGAAACACAACAATGAAGAGAGAGAGAGAGAGAGAGAAAAGAAAGAGCGGCCGGCGGGCAGGTAGGTAGAGAGAAAGAGAAATGCTGTTCATTCGGTTTAATGCGGTTGTGATTGTCTGAGTCGCGCGCGCACGACTCTTCGTGTTTTCAAAGCCAAACAGTCAGTTCCACTGTATTGCACACACTGATGTGTTCTTTTACTTTAATTTCAACACACTGTTTTGTGATTTCATGTTTTCTCATCGGAAAAAAAAGAACGAACCAATGTTGAAAACAAATAGACAAAATACACAGAGGAAAAATTCTATCACATAAAAAACACATACGCTTTTGCGTATCGAATGTGCCTGAAGGCCCTTGCCTTCTCGTCGAATAAACTTCTAAATTGATTCGTTTACAAATGATGCGTATAACATAAAAAAAGCGTTGTTTCTTTTTTGTTGGTTACTTGTTTTTTACTCTTTTTTTTCCTTCCTATTATTTGAATGAAGAAGAAGGAATAAAAACCGCATTTTTCCAAGTCATCGATGGATGAAAGAAGCATTTCATTCCAAATGCTTTTGTTTCGGAATTTATTATCCAAATCGAGTTAGAAACCACTTTGCAACGTTCTATTTGCGGTGTGGTGGCGGTGGCTGTGGCTGTGATGACGATGGTCGCATTTGCATTGCAACAAAGTCAAATCTCCCAAACGTACTCTAATCGATTTTATGGCTGTTTTATGCTAATGCATCCGACTTTCCGAGAACCCGAGCGAGCGATTGAGAGCTGAATCGGAGCGAAGAGTTTGGGAAGAGCGAGCAAACGAGTGCGGGAAAAAGGGAAAAAACGACAACGACTAGGAGATCAACCGCACAATAGTATCATATCGGAAAATTTTATGTACGCATATAGTGACAGAATCCACTTTATGCAATATTTGGCTGATGCCTCGCATTAATAAAAGTAAATCCATGTTGGGGTATTTTCGTCTGGCGACAATGTAAAAATCTTTGAGTATGCATAAATCAGAGGATATTTTTTTGGATTTCTCTCTCACTCTCTCGCCTTGTCCCTATGTTGAATTCTCTGAAGTTCTTTTCTGTTCCCTCTCTCCCATTCTCTCCATATAACAAAGAGAGAGTTGTACACCGACGACTGACTGATTTTTTGTTCCATCGTCGTCGTTGTGGTTCTCGTTCAGCCGTAGTCGGAAAAAGGGCGTACTTTGAAATTATACTCAAATACATTTAGCAATAATTCATAGCATAAAAGTGGAAAAGGGTTAAAGAGTCACAAAGCCAACAGCATTCAGACCAATGAGTGTGTGTTTTTTTTCGTGTGCATTTTTCGCATAGTTCGTAATTTTTGCGTTTTTACGAGTTTCATTCTCCAACACAACACACATACAACGAAAATTACGAGCCAAAAGTCGAAGATAACCAAAAAAAAATCCAGCGCAAAAAAGTGAACGAAGCTGCATCATTTTCTTTTCCTTCTTTTCGTTAAGATGAAACACCGGCAGCAATGAAAATACATACAAAACCGCGGAATATGAAATGGTATAATGTGGTTTGTATTAGCGGGCGCAGACAATCACGAAACGACACAACGAACGACTTAATGAATCAGGTTCATCGTAAAAATGCCACGGCAAAATGTAGTCGTCTCCCAACGAACGAACGATTCGAAACAGTGTGTGGTGCTGCTGTGGCTGCTGCTTTTGTTGTTGGAGCACGCACGTATTGCATTAAATTTCATGGGTTCTGAAGCAGTTGATCATTTCGAGCGTCGGTCATTTCAAACCGAGAACATGTATCAATCATTTTGGTACGCAGCTCATTAACTGAACACTTCACAGCCCAGCTCAAACTACTTGAAAATCAGTGTGGATACGATCTGAATGCGCGAGGCGAAACATAAAACAAAGCGAGTACGAAGAAGACGATTAACGTAAAGAAGATCTCACCATCGTGATTATGTATTCGTAGAGTTTTACAAATACACGAAAAAAAACGCCACCACCACCAACAACAACAACAGCATGATCGCTTGTTGCAATCAAAATGCCGTACGCTGGGAACCGGAGAAATAGAAGAACAACGAAAAAGAGAAAAAAATAATCGGAAAAACAGAGTAAAACAATCATAACACTCTACGAGAGGAGAATATTTCAGTATGTGTTGTCTTCTGCGTTTATTCTTTTTTTGTCGAAAAGTCAATGCCCCCACAAGAGGCAAGAATCGAAGATGAAGAAGAAATGAAGAGAGAAAAGAACTTGAAGCATTGTTAAGTTGAGAATACGGCGACGTGCGGCTATATTCCGTATGCAGAGAGAGAGATAGAGAGAGAGAGAGAGAGAGAAGATTCGCTTACGCACAGGTGTGTTGTTGGCCAACGTTTCTTCTTCTTTTTTTGTGTATTTTACCTTCGCTTATGTGTTCCTTGTCAGTTGGTTAAATCATAATGCAGTGAGTTGTATGCGCGTTTGCCTCGCGTACGGTTTATCGTGTACACTGCGTTGATGATTATCAATGCACTTGAAAATCCGAATAAACCGTATGATCAAATGTATGCATTGCACAAGCATCGTTCTTTTTCAGGCATATACACATATGCATTAACATATCAAAATAGCAAAAACAAAGATGTTAAGAAAAAGCAGAAAACGAACAGAATATGTTATATTAAATTCTCGATTATAATACCGTTTGTTCAATGTTCATGCTTTCATCTCGATCCGAACCTGCTGTGGCTAGCAAGAAAAACCAATCTATCCACTTGAAAGTAAACAAATTTATATCAGTTTTGTGATTAGAATCTGGAATTGTTGTACATACTAATGAAATATTTCTCGCTTCGCCATTGTCAAGCAAACGGTCCTCTGATCCCACGAAATTCGAAAGTAATGTCAACGATTTTCATGGTATTCTCACTTGTGGATTACCGTTTTCGGGCACATTTCGCATGCATTGAGTTTCTATTTTCGATACCAACAGAATTCGATCGAACGGATTTTTTAAGAACTGCTCCACTTCGTTGACGAAAAAATGCGCATTTCTATTCTTCTTTTAAAATTCTTTATCTTGAAAAAAAAAATGAATTCTTCGAAGATTAAAATAGATCGAATATGATGTGATAACCCACACGGAAAGTTTCTGGTCTTCTCTCAATTTGATTTGGTTAACGCGGTTCGTGGAATTTCTCTAATTTTAACCGGTTTAAATTAAAATGTACAAACAAACAAACTGAGTAGAAATCGTATAGTTTTCACTTTGATTTCGAGGAGCCACATTTTTGTCTATTCAAAATCACCTGATATAAAAAATTAAGCATTTTGTGTTGGGTTTCGAACTTGTAATGGAAACTTTATGCTCTATAATCTGGTTGCGTGTCACGAAAACCGAGCAGCCACCCATCGTCATAATCGTTGTTGTTGCTGCTGTTGTCGTCGTCGACATCGTTCTCTCTTTTCCAAGCAAAGTCAAATGAGCACAACTTAAAATAAACATATCGCATCGCATTTTCGAGTGAGTGAGACGATGTAAACATGCCGTTTATGCCAAGCGCATTGTTTTTATTTTTTCTTCAACGAAAATTATTCAAAGCTTCTTTTCGCGTTGTTACGGCTGACAAATTCCGAATTTGATGCACCCGAGCAATGAACAAACGACCAACAAGCGGGCGGAAGACACAGAACGAAATGAACGAAGAAAAAGAAGAAAAAAAAATTAAGAATAACGAACCTGATTGAAAAACAAGTGTAATAAGGAATTTACGAAGC